CAGGTCCAAGTTACTTGCCTAGGTCTTTTGTGGGATTGGCAGTTGCAGTGCTGCTGCCCAAGCTGCTTTATTTAGGGAATAAATAAGAGACTTCAGTCTTCTGGGCTTTCAAATTGGCATCTTTCACCAGCCCCGAACTGCGTATACGCCAGTTCTTTAAAAAGAAACCCCCCAAAACCTTTTAACTGTGATTACTGCAAACTAAAATAAAATGATTCACATGACCGTTATGGTTTTGAAGCCGCATGATGAATAGCTAGAGGGTTTTGCTGCAGCCATACTGAAGAAAAGGCTAGAAAATTACCATATTCCTTCTCCAGTGATATATATCATAATGTTTTCTTGCTTTCTTTCCATGAATGCATAATCTGTGTTGCCAGCACTGAATATTGTGATATGATTAATTTAGGTATTTATGACAAAAGGAATGTTATTTTGTAATCTGGCTTTCACAAAAAAAAAAAATGAGTCTCTCTAGCAACAGGGAAGCTGTAGTACAGCAAAGAGCCAGTGATGCCAGAGAAATAGGTTCTTGTTATTTTGTTAACCTAAGGGGCTGAAGGCGGCTGCTTCAGTTTATGCAGGGAAGTTTAAAAAAAAAAAGCAGAGATCTGCTGTAAATGCAGGTTCTTGTGGTTCCTCCGTGATCAGCTCATTGTAGATGGTGACAAACACGCATATTCCCTATCCTGAGGTGCATCTAAGTTATCAGTCTGATGCCATCTATAACTAATGGCATAACCTGCATCCCAAAGGAGGACTAAACAAATAGAATTTTTAGAAGATTTTTATTAAGGAGAATTTTATGTCTTTTCATTATTTTTTTTTTTTTTACATAAAACATTTTGAGGTTGCTGAATGTATGTGACAGATGGTGCTCTTATGTCACATCCTATCTTTCATTTTATTTTGCAACGTGCAAGTCCTCCATGCATGCACAATTACATTACAGCGTTGCGAGCAGGGCCGTGCAGTCACTGAGACATAAAGGAATAATCCAGTGGTGAGCTCTGTAAGGGGGACTGGACCAGCAGGACTGTGCTAAATAGTGTTAAGTGCTGGCTACGTTTTTTATGATGAGTTTAATGATTTTACTTTTGTAACGTAAATTTCAATGTAAACAAGAAAGTGAAAACATACCATCATTTCATCCATCTGCCGAATGCATTTAAATAACTAGACAGATTATATTAATTACATAATAACTGTTCTTCTTTCCTTATTCTCTGTCATATAAATGAGTAGCAGTTCCCTCACAGTAAAGTGTGCAGGTTTATTTGAATTGTCCTGGTTGGGTAATCTTTAGATAAACATGCCCTGTCATTTTTGTGAAGTAAGCTAGGTGTATGTATGATTCTAACATTGGAATGAGGAAAAATACATACTGTTATTTGTTATATGTGGAATTATTCCTCCACTTTCCACTACCTGGAATGTAAACTTGTGTCCTGCTTCACTACAGCTTTTTCACCCTGATTTTTTTTATTTATATTTCATCCTAAATAGCTTCTCCTAGGATTTGTCCTGTGTTTGTCTTTTTTTGTTTTGTTTGTTTGTTTGTTTTGGTCTGGACTAATAGATGGAAAATACTGGACTTTGCTTTTGACCTTGGCTTAAGGTGAGGTCTTAGGCAAATTCATCCACTATACTGCTTTTTTAACTTCTAAATCTTCATCTGACAAATAGGGATGCTAGAAATGTATGTGAAACGTACAGAATATATAAAGGTGACAAGCTAATAATGTTGCTAGGATGTTTCATTTGAGGTTTATCACATTTCTCATTATTCTGACCACTGAATCCTAATGTTTAACTGTTGTTTGTATGTATGTATTCTTCCATAAAATACAGATAAGTGAAGCTAATGAGGACATCTTCCCTCATAATGCAATGGAGAAAAGAAACACTTAAAACAAGAGTAGCATTTTTCATTCAGCAAATTGTGTTGCCAAGTCTTGAACTCCCTTTAATACTATTATAATTGCATAAACTCTCTGATGTCCTCTTGTTTTGTCTTCATTTTTTTTTACTGGTCTTTGAACACTGTTTTCAAAAATAAAATTGATTGAATAGGTGTCCGTTGCTGTTGTAGCTTCTGTAGATCAAGGCAATTCATGTTCAGTGTTGTCAGCTAACTGCAGTGATGGGCTGTTGCCCGATTAATATAACCGATTCCAATAACCTTTACAGTAAAATCTTGGACATTATATTTAGTTCTTCAGAACTTGGATTAAATAAGATTGTAAAATATTATTTATATTTTTATGCCGATTCTGTGCTTCTGAAAACAATGCTGTATCATGAAGTCCTAATCATAATTCAGCATTATGTCATCTAATATTTTAGTGGCATTTGTGTTTTCTTACAGCATTGCTGTGCTATGAGTCTGATACAGCTGAACTGATGTTTCATTATAATAGAAAATACCCTTTGTAGTAAAGTGTAAAAGCAGCCACACAGATGTGTATGTTAAGGGAAACGTGCACCTTGCCAGGCTATGAAGGCTGCTTATGTTGTATGAAGAACAAAAGTAGATCAGAATCTAAACTTTTTGTGCTCTTAGTAGTAAAAAAGATGGTGTGAGTAAATTTACAGTTGCAGGCCAAGGAGCAGAGGTGTATGTGTATCAACTTCTTTATCATTTATATAGCTACAAATGTGAGATGCAGTATATAATAAATTGTTGTTGTCATAAAGTGACAGGATATAATGAAACAAAATACTCAGAGCAGAACATGTTACTTCATGTAACAACCTTTCATGGTTTTAAATGGTCAAAGCTAAAGAATTTTCTTTTTTTTAATTGGAAAGTGGCTTCCTTAAGTGACAGCATCTCTTTTCATTGTGGTAAATAATAGCTGGGTTATGAGGAACAGGCCAGTTAAAGGTCTCCCATCTGTTCATATTGTGTCTCTGAATGGTCTACTTGATGCAAGTTAGTTGTTGGGCAAACTATTTTTTAATGGGTATCATGAGCAATTACTGCTTTCTGCGTAGTTTAATAGCTGTGTACTGAAACCCTCTCTAGTGCAGCTGCTGCAGCCATTCTTTGGAATCGTTCTGGTATGCGCAGAGGCGCGAAACTGCAGTTCCTGACAGCTGCCAACTTTTATAGACTATTTCTGATCCCTGTTCATTAGGGAATGAAGTTACCCTTGGGCTGTTTATTAGCATAGGACTCATTAGCAATTAAAGAAGATGAGTTAAAGAAAAATTATGCTGAGATGTCGACCATATTAGAATTAAATTATTGTCTGATCATTGAGACTTTCAGCATTTTGTGTTATTACTATATCTGCAGCTGATAAATCAGCTTGGATTAAGTAAATCTTGAATAATATTTACTCTCCTTAGCCATTTTGAAGACTTTCATCTTCTCTTCCCTGTTACTCGTTGTTATCGAAATACTGACACATAACAAAGAGTTGTTTTTTTTTTTTCTTTTATATGAGTAGATTCTATTCAATTCCATATTGTAGTGACTGAATGTTTGCAAGGGCATCCTTAATTTGAATAGTGATAGTATTAGTATGGTGCTATCCAATGTTGGGTAGGTCAGATTTGTAATCACTAAAAATTACTTGCTACTGCATATTATTTGATTGACACTTTGAATTTGTAGTTTTGTGACCTAACCACTAGATGTTTATATCATAAAACTTCGATATGTTTATTTCTAATGGTCAGCTGTATTCTCAGCCTTATAAAAATGGTCAAGGCAGAAGGAGTTTGTGGAGCCTTCAGTGCTTGACTGCTGGTCAAGGGCTCCCAACTGTGTGAACAAAGATGAGTTTCGGGGCTACCTATCTGTAGGTTTTGTGGCTTCACTGACACGAGCTTGGGAGAGTAGGCAGTTTGGAGAACACGCATTTTTAGTGACTGTGCAGCATAGCGATAACAGTTGCTGAACACCAGCCTTTGCTAGAAGCTTTACACGTTTCATGTAGTTATCTGGTATTCTGTAGAAAACACCCATTGCCATTCATTACAGTCTGCAATGAATGAATGTAGTGGCAATGCGGTGTGATAAAATAGGGTACTTTTTTATGGCTCAGGTCCTTAGAGCTTCCCTGTGCTTCCATCTTCTTTAGATGTGCCCTTCTTTGAAGCCTTCTGGCCTTCTGCGCATCTGCCAGGGGGTCTTAACAGAGCAGAGCAGATGGAGCCTGTCATACCAGAGCAAGAGCCCCCATCCTTCAACACAATAGCTAGATTTTAAAACTAATTTCTAAGTCTTTAATGGTGTTTGTTAAGAATACTTGATCTTTTAGTTTATTTGTGTATTTTTAATGATAGAGATACATAGGCATTTTATGATATCCCTCTGTCATAAGAAAGAATAGTGGAATTAATTTTTTATTCAGACTTGAAATTCTGACTTCCCTTATTTTCCCTTCATGATTCTATTTCATGAGCTTCATAGGTGTGGAGGGAATTGCAAGGCAGCTAATCAGGCAGCAATAAAAAATGCAGATGCACTGGATTTGATTTCTTAGCCTACATGATAATGTGCCATTGAACCACAGTTGCAATCAGGCAGTTTGTTTCAGAGGCTTAATGGGATCTCTTAGGTACAGACAACAGTATAAGCCAGCATGGGGCTGTTACTTCCCCATTAAAGTTTGAAAATGGTGAGACTTAATCCCATCACAGTGAGGTAAAGGTTCCTGTGCTGCAGTTACGGCAGGAAGCCATATGAAAAGGGGAGAAAAATGGAGGAAGTCCCTAGAAAATGAGTCACAAAGAAGCTCTTTGTGTGTGAGAGAGGATATCTGTGAAGTCCCTAGGTCCAGAGACTCGCATCCACAGCCCTCACATCCTGTGTGCTACCCTTTCTCCTGCGCATATATTCCATTGGGGTTCCTGGTGTTTCTCTTGGAGGAATAGTAGGGTCCAATGTAAATGCAGTGGGTCAGTATGCAGAGCATTATTTTGATTGGTTGGTTGATTTTTTTTTTAAGTAGTCCAAGCACATCTATCTTTATTTTATTGTTTTTCAGCTGTACCTTGTTGGTGGATCTTTTGGACTCCGTGAATTTGCTCAGATAAGATATGATGTCCAGAAACTTCATGGAAAGGTAAATAAAATGATTCTCATTATTTTTCATATATTTTCTAACTTCTAAAGAATTATGAGGTCAAGCAAAGTATGGGCATTGGGAGTTTGCCTTTTACCTCTGCACCTGGAGTCAGAGCTGGGTCTCTTAAACAGTGAGTAGTGTAGATAGCAGTAAAGAGGTTGACATTATGGTAGATCTTTTAACTGTCTGTGAAGCTGTTGGGCGTCAATACTGCAAAAGTTCCTTCCTTTCAGTTTTTGAATGTTATTTGGTCTGATTCCTGCTCCATGAATTGGCTTCTGTGATCTGCACTGTGTCCATAACCCATAGAAAGTCAGGGTAATAATTGGGCTTGTTCAGATATATGAGGCTCTTTGTCCTAGCGTTTATAATCAAGGGAGGCATCATTGAATTAGACAGTAGTACATGAAAGCTCTGAAGGGAAGCCACTACACCCCTGGAGTTCTTAAACTCTGAACATCTAAAAGAGGACAGCTGAATTCTGCTATAGCTTGTGTTACTGAAGGGCTGCAGCATCTCCTGTATTTTCTTTTCCTATCTATTATTCTTTTAGTTAGGAATAGATGCAAGTTAAATAGAAAACAAGGCAGTATTGGCTAAAAACTAGCAACACCAGCACTGGGCTATTTATAGACAGACAAATCAACACTGTGTTCTGTTTCTCTGTTCATAAACATAGTTAAGAATTTTAATTCATAGATAGGAGGAGAGATTTGAATATATTGCAACTGATATAGAAGCAAATCTGGTATAAATTTTTGCAAAACTCAGGAATAACAATCATAATCTATGTAATTTAAAACAATATTGAAAAACCTAATGATCATAGCGTTTGTTTGACACTGTTTACGGTATATTTTTGTGTTAAATAGAGTATTTTGTTATATAACACACTTGAACTAGCACAAGTCCTTACCAGAAAAGAAAGGGACAAGCAGGCCTTTTGGGGATATGGGCAGTAATATGCAAATCGGAATAGACACAATAAACCAGATAGATAGGATTTTTGTTACAATTTCTGCTTTGGAATAATAACAAAGCTTAATTAAGCGACACTTCTCCTATAAAGAGCTCAAAAGACTTTCACAGAATTTAAATGAATTAAACTTTATAGACTCACTGTCAGAAAAGTCAGGATTTTATTTCCATTTTACTGTTGATGAAATGGAGGTTACAAAAAAGTGAAGAAACTTGTCCAAATGCAGGCTAGGATTCATAGTGCCTCACTGCCCATCTCTCTTGATTGACTTTAGGGATGTGTAAGCTCCAATATACAACCTTTTGTGAGCCTGACTGCCAGTTTGTTTCCTTGCTAATTCAGCTGTTAGATGAACAAGAGTTAGATTCTCCTTTTGTGGTGTCTCTCAAAAGCCAGGTATGTTTATAGTAAAATCCTGTAAAATTTTAATGGAGCAAAGATTAATAGGTTTGCATAGAGATGACTCTAAAAGCCTATATTCCTTTACCTTACTTTAGCATTCATATGTAGTTGAATAGAGATGCCTACTTAAAAATCTTTCCTGTAGAAATACTAGCTTCTATTAGATGACCAGTGTGGTCATCCAAAGCATGATAAAGGCTTACTGATTCAGATCATTTTTTTGGTCAAACATCTGGAATGTCTTGTTTGTGCTGCTGGCTGTTGGTTGCTGTAGAAGCCTAAAAGGAAACAACATACTAACTACCTGGGGAAATCTGTGCTTTAATTTATCAGCAAAACCTGCTGGCTAAGTTCCAAAAGTATGACTGCCAGGAAGAATCCCGGAGAGCACAGGGATAGAATAGGACTGAGCAAGGATACATGCAGTAGAGCTATTTCTAGGAAAACTGGCATCTTAAAGTCATTTTGCCAGGAAGCCAAACATCATAGCCTTCGAAGTCTGCAATTAATTGCTAGTGTAGAGTCTGAGCGTAAAATAACATCACTAGATTCCAGTGTTGATAAAATAAGTAGGTCCTGGTTGACTTTTCCTTATACATTGTCCTATGCAAAGTGAGTGCATCCCAAGAGTAAAATGCTAACAAATCAGAAAAATGTTTTCTTTCTTGCTGAGTTATAAATGATTGCAGGAAGTACAGGCAGTGAATGGTCAAGGTGACATAAATGAAATCTTTTTGCTTGGATGATTTTTACCCTTTTTATCAGTCAGCTCTTGCCCATTAAAATATGTGTGGCCACTGTGTGGCACTCTAGGAGTTAAAATCCAAGCATGTAGTTTGCATGAGAATAAAGGATTGATCTAATCTTTCAGAACACCAGTTTGTACAAGCATTAAAACTGCAAACTTGGGAAGATTACCAAAGGAGTGTTGTAAAAACCCAAGTTAGCAACAGAGTAATGGTGATGCTGCGAAGAATACTCATTAGGAAGTATGGAGGAGCATAAAGCTTTTTGTATGCAGTCTGAGAATTGAAAATTTCTGAAAAGCGAATGGCAATGTATTACCCTCCTCAGCTAATTTTTTTTCTTTTTTTTTTCTTTTTTAACCAATTGATTGGCATGTAATTACCCATGAGAAGTAACTTATGGCCATGTGCAAAGAGTTAGTGTTGCCTTTGTCAGTTCTCTTGCCTGTTATACTTGGTGTTGTGAAGTCCTAAGTCATGAAAGGATGTTATTATGAGGATCTCGGCTTTCATTTTGCAATCCTAGTCCCTGGAGTTGTGAAGAAGAGCATGCATGAGGGATGGGGAACTCTTCTGGGAGCTCTGCAGTCCTTCCAAAAAGAAGAGAATTGGGAGTGGAGGAGAAAAGCAGACTAACATTATGGCTGATGGCACTGCGGTATTTTGTTGTTTTACACCTGCTCTCATAATAGAGCTTGGTAGTGATTTAACTGTGTTGACTGGTTGGTTCATTATACGTGCAGTCACAGCCTGAGAATGTTGTTGGCAAGTCCCCAGTGTTGGCCTTTATGACTCTGGGTGTCAGAGGACACACAGCAGCATATGATTTAAACAACTACCATCCGTATAAGTAGAAATCCTATTTGTATCTTGCTGAGGTTATTACTTCCGTTCCCTCTTTACCATGAAAACTTATTTCTGTTTGTCAGGGCAGTCACTAAGTTTTAGAGAGTCTTTGTCAGTAAAGTGGAGATAACTGATCTCCACTACTCCACGTTTCTCTACTTTTCACAGGGAATAGAAAAGTTAATTAATTTAAATAGAAGGAATTACTTAAATTCAAATGAGTTTTTCAGAAAATATTTTCTCAGGTGAGATCCATTAGTTCATTTTTTGGGGGGCCAAAATGAAATAGTTCAGAAGGAAACAGGAGCAGAGAATTGACCCATTGTCATGAGGTCTTTATATCTGGTTTGAGGGTTTGCCTCAGGAGGGCCAAAAAGTTGTGGCGTCTGTCCATTAAAATACATCTATGTTGTAATCAAATTACTTTGCTCCAGTTCACAGAAATACTGTTGTTGACAAACAAACGGTTGAGTTGAGATAATGACAACTGCAGCAGCACAGGATCTGAATGAGATTGTACTATTTACCCAAAAAGGGAAATAAATTTACAAGTGACTGGAGAAGACTGCTGTGTTGTTTACTGCCATGCTCATCTTGCTGCCATTACATAAACTAGCTGAGGAATGTCCACAGGAACTGCAGTCATAGCAATGCCTTAAAGCGTCACCACTAAAATTCTGTTGGTTGTTACTTCTGTCTTACCTAACTGTGGAGTTGAGCTGAACAGGATTTAATGTACTTTAAATGTTTATTGTAAAGTTGTGTGGTTTCTGAGCAGCCATTCGTGTTTCTGTGAAATATGCTGCTGTCATCTTTTAAATTGTGTATTTCAAGTGACATGAAGGTTTCTTAAAAAGGAAAAAAAAACAAATAAATCTCTGAATACATCCGTAGTAGTTAAAATAAAATACATAACTCTATTTTTTATCATAGTTCTAGAATATGAACAGATTGTTCCTGTCATTAAACATATTGCTAACTGCTGGTGCTAGACAGAGTTACTTTACTCCAAGGCTGTCCTGTCTTTCTTCATTTGAGCACCTGCATCTCTGCTAGAAAATGCTATTTGTGCATTTTTATATAAGTTGAAGCTATCAAAGATATTAAGAATTTAAGAAGGATAACAAACAGCATTGTGATTGGATATATAGTTCCAATGGTCAATGACTGAGAACTGCAGTGTGTTTTTTATTGCATTTCTTAATAGGTGAAGATACACACTTGAAATCAAGTTACACCCTAGTGTTCCTAAAGATTATAAATCTGGCCAAAACCTATCAGAGTTCACCATATCTATGAGTAATGTACACAGGCCAACTAACTGTCTGGACTTGAGAAGCACATGCTGTTATAGTTTATCCTAATTATAATAGTTGGATGTAATTCTGTATTTCTGCAAGCTCAGGTCATTCCATAGGCTCAGTTATTGTCTATGTCTGTAGACTTTCTGCTTGGTTTTGAACCAAATGATTCAGATTTACTTTCTAGGCTTCTCAGTATGCCCACGCTTTATTGCAGGCTTTATTCCATTTTATAATAGAAGCTTGAGAGAGACATCGTTCACTTTTGACCACGGGAAAAGCAGAGAGATTGAGCTCAAGGTTCAGCTATGACTACATTTCAGTGAGTTGAGTGGCATCCCTAACGTGGTAAATTTAGTTTCAATTTTACCACATAGGTAAAATTTAATGGTAGGTGAGATCTTTCTCCACCTGAAGATAGCTGGAGTTGTAGGATTTTGAACACACATCTTAAAATGGGGTTTATTGCTCTCTGGAGATACCTGTCTCTGTTCAGTGAGTGCCAAAACAGAGAGCTGCTGCTTCAAGTCAAAAGTTTTGATGGCTAAAATTAGATGAGGTGAAACCCACTATAAATATTCTTTCCCTGAAGCTTTATTGGCAAACAATAGAGGTGGAGAAAAGGTAAAGGAACTCTTAATTAAACTGTTATTTGTCTTTTTCAATATTTCATAATTCTGGAAAGTTTCTTGCAGTTTCTCCCATAATTTCATAAAAACAGTA